AAAAAAAAAAAAAGAAGTTGAGCATCTCTTATCTAAAATGCTTGGGAACAGAAGTATTTCAGACATTTTTTGAATTTTTTAATATTTGCATATAATGGGAGCACCTGTAGCTCAGTGGTTAGGGTGCTGTCCACATGCACGCAGGCAGATGGGTTCAGGAAAAAAAAAAATTAAAAAAGGTGGGCATTGTGGCAGGTGCCTGTAGTCCTAGCTACTAAAGAAGCTGAGGCAAGAGAATCACTTGAGCCCAAGAGTTTGAGGTTGCTTTGAGTTATGACTATAGCACTCTACAGAGGGCAATAAACTGAGACTCTGTCTCAATTAAAAAAAATTGCATACTGTAAGATATCTTCGGGATGGGAGGCAAGTCTGAAACACAATATTCACTTATATTTCATAAACACCTTATAAACATACCCTGAGGGTAATTTAGTATAATTTTTTTAAAAATAATTTTGTGCATTAAACCCAGTTTTGACTGTGCCTTTTTTTTTTTTTGAGACCACTCTATCCCCCAACCTGGAGAGGAGTATCATGTTAAAGGTTCACTGCAGCCTCAAACTCCTGGGCTCAAGCGATCCTCCCACCTCAGCCTCCCAAGTAGATGGCCACCACACTCAGATTATTTTTTTAATAGACCAGGGTCTCCCTTTGGTGCCCAGGCTGGTCTCAGAGCTCCTGGCCTTAAGCAATCCTCCCACCTCGGCCTCCCAAAGTAGTGAGATTAAAGCTGGGATCACAGGCATGAACCACTGCGCCCAGCCTTGACTGCATTTTCACGGCAACTCATCCTGTGAGATCAGCTGTGAAATTTTCTTCTTGTTGCATCATGTCAGTGATCAGAAAGTTTCAGGTTTGGGAGCATCTCAGATTTTGGATTTTCAGATTAGGGATGGTCAACCTATATTATGCCTGCCTAGGAAACTCAAGCGAATCCACTAAAAAATAAAGACTAAAAGTTTGTTTAGACAGGACAGCAGACTCGGTGCCATTCACTTTCCTCACAGATATACAAAAAAGATACCACTTCCCAGCTCCCCTGCATCAAAAACAGAGGCTAGTAGACTGTGAAAGAAAAATACTACTACTTCCCAGCTCGGCCCATAAAAAAAAAAATCTTCCATGCACAAAATTCCACGGCAAACTCAGAGGCCACATCCTACAGTCAGTTATATTTTAAGATGGAAGAAACCCAGACCCCTAAATCACCACTTAGAGAACAATCTAAAAAATGTGAGCAAGAAATAAAAATTTTGTTAGGCCACAGTCTCGGGCTAGCTTTAACTACCCTGACTAATATAAGTGGTCAGTTATAAGACATCTAGATTACAAGCAATATATTGCTTGTGTTTTATATAATGCTTTATATTTTCTCTGTAACAATTAGGAAATTGGAGATTAAGAGTGGCATGAGAGGAAATAATCTCAATCCAAATACCAAATATTTTAAAATAAAGAACAATAAACAAGTGACCTAAAGACCATGACCATATGTTAAGAAAAATCTAGAGGGGCGGTGCCTGTGGCTCAAAGGAGTAGGGCGCCAGCCTCATATGCCAGAGGTGACAGGTTCAAACCCAGCCCTGGCCAAAAACTGCAAAAAAAAAAAATTTTTGAGAAACTGATTTGTTCTGTTTGTGGACAGCACAAGTCAATGTTATAAAGATGATAAGCCTCCCCAAGTTAATTTACACGTTCAATGAAATTTCCCATTAAAAGCCAGGAACGGTGGCTCAGGCCTGTAATCTCAGCTACTGGGAAAGGAGGCTGAGCCAGGATCATCACTTGAGCCCAAGAGTTGAAGGTTGCAATGAGCTGAGATTACACCATTGCACTCACATTGCTTGAGGGCAAGACCCTAACCCTAACTCAAAAAAGTAAACAGAGGGCGGTGCCTGTGTCTCAGTGGGTAGGGCGCTGGCCCCATATACCAAGGGTGGTAGGTTTGAACCCAGCCCTGGCCAAACTACAACAAAAAAATAGCCAGGCATGGGGTGGCACCTGTGGCTCAGTGAGTAGGGCACCGGCCCCATATACTGAGGGTAGCGGGTTCAAACCCAGCCCTAGCCAAACCGCAACAAAAAAAATAGCCGTGCGTTGTGGTGGGTACCTGTAGTCCCAGCTACTCAGGAGGCTAAGGCAAGAGAATCACCTAAGCCCAAGAGCTGGAGTTTGCTATGAGCTGTGATGCCACGGAACTCTTCTGAGGGCAATAAAGTGAGACTCTGTCTCTAAAAAAAAAAAAAAAAAAGTAAACAGTCAGGAAAGTGGCTGATGCCTATAATCTTCAGAAGGCTGGGATAGAAGGATCACTTGAGACCAGGAGTTCAAGACCAATCTGAGATCCTGTCTTATAATAAACAAATAAAGTAGTAAGACCATGCAAAACAAAAAAATAAACTGAAAAAATAAATCTTAAAACAGATCCAAGCACTGATTGGCTGATTAAGCTGTTGTTTTAAGTTAATAAAGATGAAATAATGAATAAATGATGCTGGGAAAAATGTAAACCAGGGGGAAAAAGTAATCCTTACTTCATATCACACTCTAAAATCAGTTCTTCTTAATAAAGTCTATAATTAATCTAATCAATCTAAGAAAATGTCAGTGAATGTTTATAAAATCTTGGAGTAGAGAAGGCATGGAACATAAAAACAGATTGACAGATTTGAATTCAAAACATAGGAAAAATATGTGCAATACAGGACAAAATACAAATCTTTTTTCTGAGACACAGTCTCACTATGTGGCCCTGGGTAGAGTGCTGTGGCATCACAGCTCACAGTAACCCAAACTCTTGAGCTTAACCAATTCTCTTGCCTCAGCCTCCCAAGTAGCTGGGACTACAGGCGCCCGCTGCAATGCCCAGCTACTCTTTGGTTACAGCTGTTGTTGTTTGGCAGACTCAGGCTGGATTTGAACCCGCCAACACCTGTGTATGTGGCTGGAGCCCTAGCCACTGAGTTTCAGGCGCCCAAGCCCAAAATACAAATCTTAAATCCAAAAGTTTTTAAGTGCCAACATGACAAGTTCAAAGAAAATGCTCGTGGAGCATTCTGGATTTCAGATTTTTAAATTATGGATGCTCAACATGTATAATGCAAATATGCAAAAATCCAAATTCCAAAACACTTGTCACAAGCACTTAAAACATGGGATATTAACCTGTACCATCCTTTTCAAGCAGGTTGAAGCCGAAGATCAAATACAACATACCTATTACATACTTCACTATTTTATTTATTTTGTTGTTGGTGGTGGTTTTGGGGT